TTCTTCCTCCCTCAGTCCCTGCAGACTGAGGGCAGGGCAGGTGCACATCTGAATTTCACTGGTGGGAGGCAAAATCACTGGTTGTCTTAGTGATAAACTATTTACAGTGAGAGCCAGTAGGAAGGGAATAAGGACCCTCTCGAATGATTTGAGGAGTGTGTAATACATGGGCTTGGCTTACAAGGATGCCTTAAATCAGCCACAAATTTGCTGCTACTACTTCTTTTAAACAAAACAGTGTTTCTCATTCCTGCAAGCTGGTGGACACCCTGTTCAGTTAATTCAGCAAGGACTTAGAAAGACTTTTAAAATTTTTTTTAATTTCTTTATCAGGAGAAAAACTATAGCCTGGGGGCACATTGCTCTGACAGATTGGGATTACATGGTTGCAGTTGACCTATGCAGCTTCCTTACCCTTCCCCCTCCTGGCAGGTAGATGAAGCATTTATGATTGGAAGTGGCTATTCATATTTTTTCTTTATCTGATGAAAGGCCATCACAGTAGTCAAGAAGGACTTGTTATAGATTTTGCTTTTCCTGTGAAAGATGCTTGAAAGCTCAGTGAAGAACCTGTAGAAATAAAATAAAAAAAATAAGATATTCTGGCTGTGTGGGAGGGAAGCATTTAAGCATAGCAAAGAATAGGGGATTACACAGTCAAATAAGCAGTTCTTGGCAGATTTTAGAGACTAACAGTGAGAAGTAAGAAAAGTGTATCAGAGTGTAGGAAAGCATGGAAATGAAGAGAGATAATAGCATCATATTTTAGAATCTGTCATTTTAGCAGAATTATGTTGACTGGTTGTTAGCAAAAGAGAAGGAATTGCTTTTTTAGAGGAAGAAGGGTTGCATTTCCCCTTCGTTAGCTGAGGAACCTGCTTACAGGAATTAAGACAGAATATTATTAAAAGGGGGCTTCAGCCACACAAGAAAGGGTTATTTTTAACTCAGGGCTGCTCAGTGGCTGCATTTGCAGCGTGGCCCTGCAAAAAAACCTCCGCTGGCAATACTGAGGCTGCTTTGTGCTGCTCTGTGAGAGAGGGAAGGAGAAGTCCGGATGGGAATCCTGTGGGGCAGCAGTGCCTCTGACGCCTGTGTCATGAAAATATGCCTTCAGTTAACTATTGTCCTCTGACCTCCATCCGTGCTGAAACAGGGGCTTTGCATAATCATGGAAGGAGACGGCTCCGGCTCCAAAAGATGTTATGTTTTGAATTTCCAAAACAGACAAAGGAAACATTGTCAGCCCTTCACACATGGGAAACAGGGGCAGAGAGAAAGATTTGTCTGGGACACACAGGCTAATTTTGACAGAAGGGGCACTTAAACTGAAGTTTCCTGAATTCATTTGTGCACTGCAGCGCCACAAGATTGCCCTTCCTTTCTGATATTGGATTTTGTTCTTCCTGAAACTTCAGTTCTAATACAGGGTTGTTTATCAAAAACATTCTTTAATTCTATTCTATTTAATAGATACACTAGGGATTCTTTCCTTGGGCAAAACTGTGCTGCTTGCATGCAGGTCTGAGCTGCAACTCTGAAAGTGCCCCAGGGAGCTTCAGGTGGATTTTCATGTTGGGGCTGCCAGGAACAGAAATGCAAGAAAAGGCAGAGGTGTGACTTTGGGTTCTCCTGGACTTTGTCCCCTTGGGGATCACAACCCCACGGTAGGTAGAAAGGGAGCCTGCAAGATCATTAATGAGCTTCTGCCCCACTTCATGTGGGAAGAAAATTAAAATATCTTACTAACCTGACTGTCCATTTTTCTTGCTCAGGCTTGTTTAGTCCAGAAGGGCCAGTGAGACTTGGCATTGCGTGGCAAAACTGGCGTGTGGATCCTCACAAATTTGAAGCCCCTGCTGACAGGTGGCACTGCCCATGTTCTCAGCCACGCTGGCACAGAGTTCCCCTGACCGTGTGACTCACGATCCTAACAACACTGCTAATAGATGATGCTTTAGAGTCACCTATCTTTTCGCCAAACTTAAAAGCAACTCCCAGGTATTACACTTTGGGAATGGAAACTTCAGCCTCTTAAGTGCCCTGGGTGAATATTTGCATGGTCATCCATCTGACACCCAAGTGGCACATCTCTGGCTCGTGAGGTCCCAGTCTCCCTGAAGGTGTGCTGTTCACTTGCCTGAGAGCTGAGGGAATCTACACCTCAGAAACTGATATCCTTCCAGAAAGCTAAATACAAGTTTGGGAGCAAAACTTTTGCTATGTTCATGGTACATCTCAACTTATGCAGTTTAAACTATTCTTTTGCTTTAAAATCTTTGTTTTGGTTTGTTTGTTGGGGTTTTTAAAGTTTTATTTATATCCCACTGGGGCAGCTTCCTGAAGTACCTCCAGGGGCCTGGTTCCACTGCCTGTATTCCAGTTTCCAAAGATAAATTTGATTTCTGTGTTAGGAGGCAAGCTCCTTCCTTCAAGCACTTTTCTGTGTGACAGAGCTGGAAAGAGATCAGTAAAATGTAACCTATTTTCCTGTGTTTTCTGAGATGAATCTCTGAGAGAGATCACTCGTGGTAAAATTTACTAGTGTATCGCCTCAATTAAGGTAGTAACTCTTATAGTGCAGGTGTGAAGAAAGAAATACTTGCTCCTTAAGCTTTTTTCAATCCATGTCCTGTTCAAGCTGTCTCTGTTTCAGTGGACTCCAGAAGCTTTGCATGATATTTATTGACCTGATTTACTAATTGACTCCAAAAATTTAAACAGAGACAGAGAGAACATAAGCTGGAGTCAGGCTCACGGAAATCAGGTTTTTACCAGCTCTGCCACAAATGCACATTTGAATTTATTATATTTATAATAATCTATTTATTATTGTATATTTGACTTAATATTTGCAGTTCCCCTGTCTACCAAATGCAGATGCTAATTCTTCCTTTTTTCACTATCCATACTTCTATAGACAGCAGGTTTGGACAGGAATCAGCTCCTCCTGTGTCTTTGGATACCTCACAAATGAGTCTCTAATCTTAGGTGAACCTCATAGTTACTTCTGTAAGCCACAAAATAATGATGGGCTTCAACCTGCTCGGGGATAAATGCAACCTTTGGATTATGTTGGTGTAAATAAAAAGTCCACTGCAGTTCACAAGTCAAAAACTGCTGGTAGTGTTTAGCATCAATGTCTGTCACTTGAACATCTGGTGTTCATCACTGCCTTCCTTTTCCTTCCACTGTCATATTTTATCCCCATCTGTTAGAGGTTTCTTAGCTCAGTCTGTGTAAATCACGGCTGCCTCTCAGTCAGGGTAGTGGAGTCATTACAGGCTGCAAGGCAAAGGAATGAAAAAGAGGTAGATGTGAGGAAAGTGTTTCTCTTTTGTACTCTGCTCCCCTTCTTTCTCCCCTCTCCCTGTACACAGACAGTACTGGACAGTATTACTAGACAGCCTGAAGAGAGAGGGAAAAGTTTCCAAAAATAGCAAATATTTTACCAGCCCGGGTTCTGAAGGAGGAGGAGGAACTGGAGCCAGAGTGGACGTCCATTGCCATTGTTGGAAAGAGCAAAATTGACTGCTTTGGAACAACCCTTCAGCAAGTTAGTAATTAATTGGGAAAGCAAGCATGTGTTAATATCAGACTTCCTGGGCAATGGCTTTGTTGTATTTTTTTAAAATTAAATTACTCTTATTGCAGTAATTTAGGTTACTGCTAGGAAGAATAATACTGAATGTGCTAGGAAAACATGGGTGGTGTAAAACTAGCCAAAGTAGGATACTTTTACTTTTTCTTTACCTCAAAAAACTGTGCAGTGCCCTTGCAATGGCCATCACATTCGGTGTTCCCAAGCCATGCTGTCAGGGCAGTGAGCTGGAGCAGCATTCCAAAGATGCCCTTCTGATGGGGAGGTAGATCCTCCACCGCCCCTCTATGAAACATTTCCAGTAGCATGTGGTGTTAGCTGCCAAAGCAAGGTGTCACACAGGCCCCTGCACCCACAGGTGGGTTTAATTCCCTGCCAGCTTTAGCAAGGAGAGGTATTTCCTCATTCTGGAAGTGCACAGAGACTCCTTAGCCCCAAGTTACTGGTAATTAGGGAAGAAAAGACCCGTTTCCCTGTGTCTGGAGAGGGCTGTTGCAGACTGCCACCACTATCAATCCCAGAACTTTATCCAGGCTCAAGGTGGGCTGAAGCTGGAGGGTCTCTGTACAGCTGTCATGTTTTCAGTTCTAGGGACAGTTTGTATTGTTGGGGACTTCATTACACTTGGAACAGCAAGAATGCCCCGTGTCACTATGTGTGTTCTTCCTGATTGTTTTGCCTTTTCTTTCTTTATAGTCACGTGTCAAAGGTGTATCCAAAGTTTGTTTGATGTGATACCAGTTTGGCTGAAGTGGGAATAAATTATTGCTGCTATTGCTCATTGTCAGCTTAGCCTTCTCTTTCTGCAAAGCATATTGCATTCCTGATTTCCCATTGTTTTTCACTTATTTTCCTGTGGTGTTACCCTGCTACTCACTGCAGACTCCCAGATTCCAGCTCGGCAGCAGATCAATCAAGCATTAGGTGTCCTGGTCAGCATCTGCATGAAGTGAAAGTGATAGGCCCAGCTCATAAACAGATGGGCTGCTGGGCTGTACTGTGGATCAAGTCCTGGCTGATGTAGAGGGAGTGTGGTGATTGGTGTGAAAGGCCAGGCAGTCCCTGGAGTCACAGTTGTTCTCTGAAGCTGGTAGATTGGTTCACTCCTGATGATTTGTTCTGACATTGCAGTCTGTTGCTGGAAGTGGATGTCCTGGTGAAAGTGTTATTACTTGGCATGGCTAAAATGTGGGGCTGCGAGAAAGGGAAACATGGGCCTAATGTTGCACAAACTCCTTCACCTGAGATACTGCAAGAAAATAATCCAAGAATACAGTGGAAAGGATGTTGGGATGTTGATTTACTTGCCTTTTTTTGCTGCCCACACCAGATTTCTGCTTGCCAAGCATCTTTCTTATTTCTAGCAGAATATTTATTTTGTTTTCTCTTCCCCTTGTAGAAAATTCTACTACATCACGCTGCTGAGAGACCCCGTATCTCGTTACCTCAGCGAATGGCGTCACGTCCAACGAGGAGCCACTTGGAAGACCTCCTTGCACATGTGTGATGGCAGGACACCAACTCCTGAAGAGCTGCCCTCGTGCTATGAAGGCACAGACTGGTCGGGCTGCACGCTGCAGGAGTTCATGGATTGCCCGTATAACCTGGCCAACAACCGCCAGGTGAGGATGTTGGCTGACTTGAGCTTAGTGGGCTGCTACAACATGTCCTTCATCCCGGAGAACAAGCGAGCACAGATCCTGCTGGAGAGCGCAAAAAAAAACCTCAAAGACATGGCCTTCTTCGGCCTGACTGAGTTCCAGAGGAAGACTCAGTACCTGTTTGAGAGAACTTTCAACCTGAAATTCATCCGGCCCTTTATGCAGTACAACAGCACCAGGGCAGGAGGGGTGGAGGTGGACAATGACACCATCCGGAGGATCGAAGAGCTCAATGACTTGGACATGCAGCTCTATGACTATGCAAAGGACCTCTTCCAACAGCGCTACCAGTACAAACGGCAGCTGGAGAGGATGGAGCAGAGGATAAAGAATCGGGAAGAGAGGCTTCTTCACCGGTCCAATGAAGCACTTCCCAAGGAAGAGACCGAAGAGCAAGGACGTTTGCCCACTGAGGACTACATGAGCCATATTATAGAGAAGTGGTAGCCTAGGCAGACTTTTATATTAATGATATTCTAGGGTTTCCATATAAGAGATCATGGAAGTAAAATTACAAAAACAACAAAAAAAAATATTTTATTTAAAGCAAGTCTGTAAAACAGAAGATAGATTGCTTCCTTAAGCATAGGGTCTTTTTACTGTTTCTTACAAGACCGATGAGATTCTTAAAAAAAAACAATAAATACATAAAAATAAAAAAGGGGTCAACATTCTAATGCAGAGGTCAAAAATGCACAAATGCAGTTACCCACTTGTAAGGCCAAATACAGAAGAATGTTTCTTATCCTCACAATTCAAACACAAATGGCAGAAGTAGGATTTTTTAAAAACCTATTTATCCCCTGAGCATTAACGATATAAAGACACATAATTTGAAAACAAGGAAACTGAGGTTTCCTTTTGTGTGGGAGGCGGGATAGGAATTGCATTGTTTGTGACTGATAATGGTGACGAAGTTGAGGATGTGCTCTCCTGTCAGGCTGATCTGAGCACACGGGCAGTCACAGTGTTTCAGCTGGCAGGCTCTGCCAGAGAGTAGAGCACCATGAAAACAGAGGAAAAAGAAAAATAGCTAGAGGATGAGAAACATTAAAGTAAATTGACTGTGGCCTGGGATATGTACTTAGCACAGTGGTTTTGATACATTGCACTGGTATCACATTTACAGACGCAACTTCATCCCAAAAGTAATAGGGAATTCATGCACGGAGCTCCCGCATTTGTTTCCCAGATGGGTCCCAAAACAATGTAAAAGCCAACCAAATTCCTCATAGGCTCAAACATGCACTCACATACCATCCTGTCACCCTACACCAGTGCTGCTCATGCCGTCATCAGTATTATGTGTTAACAGCACATGAAAACCCCATCCTACATACTAAGGAAAAGGAAGATGAATTTAAACACTCCCTCATAAATCTGCACAACAAGGTTCCAGGAAGACCCTGCAAATGATCAGCCATTATTGGGAACGTGATGAGGGCGTGATTTTGTTTTGTTTGTTGCTATGTGAAATACTGACCCAGAATAAGCATACAGATGTACCCTATCTGTATTTTTACAGTTATTTTTACTTGCTTTTATCAAGAGATAATGGGCATCAGCTTGCTTCCAGTGAAGTCAGTAGAACTGATTTAAGTGGGAACAGGATGGAGCTCTCTTCCAGAGCTGTGAAAATTTCTGACTATGGGTCTGAATTAATTATGACACGGTGCACATTGTCTTTTGGCAGGGTGCCTGTTCTGCAGCTCTTACTTTAAATGAACAAGCTGTGTTCATAAAACTGGAAAGGAGAATCATGGATAATGTTTTTTTAGTCTCAGACCACTCTCAAAGCAAAACTCTTTCTCTTTCAATGCTGTTTTTTAGAGGCTCATGTAAGTTTAATCCTCCAGTGTGGGGACAGCCTAACTGGGTTCTGCTTACTGACTTTTGAGTCACAGAACAACAATGACTTCTCTAATTCCTCTTCCCACTCACCAAATTAAAAGTATGGCTTATTTTTTTTGCTGTTGCAAGCACTTCTCTGTTTGGCTGAAAGCATGGAAATGAAGTAGTTTTTGCCTGGTTCGTGTCTCACCCTGTTATTGCTCAGCCTGTAAAACCTGAACCAGCTATTGTTTAGGGCAAACTCTGAACCAAATGGAATATGATTTGATTTTCAAAGGCCACGTTAACTGCAAATCAAATATGGCATTGAAATCACTGGAGGAGAGGCAGAGAGCTGATGCATTCAACTTTAACACGTCATTTTTACAGCATCCCTTCCCCATCACACAAATCCACTGATGTGCTGCTTGGTTTGTATTTTAATTCTCTCTCTGCCTCTGTGTACACTGTTTCCAACAGTTTCAAATTCAGGCTGAGTTTTGCAAAAGAGGGGCTTTGTTCTTCTGTGCACACCCTGGGGGATGTACCTTACTTTTGGAGATGTTCTTCTCCAGAAGAGTAAAGATGACTGAAAACTTGAGAACAGAAAATACAAACAGCACTTTGGGCTCAATTACAACCCTGTTAAAGCCCTGAGCCAAAGTCTACCAAAGTCAAAGGATGTCTTTCCTATTGATTTCAGATGGATTTTGGTCAGGTCTGTATCCTGCTGCTGCAAAGTGCTCGAGCACATGCTACCCTGTCTGCAGGCACAGTGGGACGTTGTTACTCACGCCTTCAGCTGGTACTAGAATGTGCTGGTGGTGTCAATGTCTTTAAGGTTGTGTCAGTGCTTCTGCCACAAAATGGCCCCTGTTTCCTCCCAGATGAAAATTGGGAAGCAAAATGAAGTAGTATTTGGTGGTTGGCTTGGGGGCAGAAAGTATTACAACTCCATTTGCTCATCTCTTAATTCCAAGACTGGGAGAAGCTGTGTCTGCTCATTCCCAGCGCTTTTATGTGTTGCTGTAACTAAAGAAAACATTTGTATTTTAAAAATGCAGCTTTACAGGCTGTTTACCCACAAAACCAATACACAAGGTATAAAAAGCAACTGTTTATGTGCAGAGTTTCCAGCTTCCCCCAAAGGCATTCCACTGTGCGTCCTGTGTTACGGATCCTTAACACACAAGTGGTTACTGCAGCCGATCCCTGTTCGCACTGCACTGTCGGGACTGTGTCGTGATTAGGCCGTGTCTGCCTGAGCTGTTTCTGTGTTACAGGCTCTGAGTAACCAGCTGGATGTTAATGGATCTGTCTGCAGGGTTGTCTAAATCAGAGGCAGCCTCTGACCTTAAAAGCATGTCAGTAGAAGACCTTGTTCCAACATTTTCTTTGTAATATATTGCGGTAACAAGCAAAAGTAATGAAACTATATTGAAAACTGTCTTGTTAACAGTTTTACTTCAACCCACAAAAGGAGGGCTAACCTCACTTAAGTACTGAGGCAGAAGTTTCTAGATTTAAATCCTGCACCCAACAAATGCCTCGGTTTCTCCACCTGTACGTTGGGAATAACAAATTTACAGACTCTAAAAAAGGTGCTCCAAAGTATGAAAAGTATAGGGCATTTTGAAACAGATCCTAAATAATGGAAAGGAAGAGAATGACCCAAAAGCCATCCCTCACCCTGGCTATTGTGCTGATTTGGTGATGGCTGTAGGCCATGCATTAATTTATTCCAAGTGCTGTGTGCCAGAGCACAGGTTGCAGGATGTACCTGGCACTATCTTCCTCCTTTAGTGGGTTCAAGGGAACTTTTTTAACATAATGTGAATGTAGTTTTTTGTGGTTTATATGTACCACAGTTTGAAGTGGTACTATTTCTTTTATTTTTAGGATTGATAATTTGATGCTACAATAACATGGCAAATGTGTGTGTAGTTTTAAAATTAATGGAGACCAACAGCTTTAAGGCACTCCGGCAGAAGTAGTGGCCAGATAGTACATTCTTGTTCAGTATCTGCCCCTGTCTTCCAAAGTGTTTTTCCTGTGACTTACAGACACACCAAGATCACCTTCACTACAAGAAGTGTTTCTCCGGGGGGGGGGTTTGTCAGTGCACCGTGATCCAGGTCAGGTTAGGTGAGTGCTGAGGGCGGGTGCACCATTGCAACCTGTCTCTGAGGGACTCGGTGAGGCAGCTCCCCCTCAGTTCAGATTTTACCTAGTTGGATGCTTGTCCATCCCTCAGTGTTTCTGCCTTGGTTCCAGGGATACTCCCTGGAAAGCCTCCACAGAAGCTGGGGCTGTATAAGATGTTTCTGAGCAGTGTTAGTGTGAGCAGTTTGGGCAGGCAGTTCTCAGGCACCAGGCCACAGATGGGCCCTGGGCCCTGCCGTCTTTCACTGTGCTGACCCTGTACATCCACAGAAGGGGATGGGGCTCTGAGTGGGCATTTCCCAGCAGACTCCATTCCTGCTCTGGCAGATAGAAAGGCCAAGACATGCTGCGGTGCTAAGAACATCTTCTTTGCTTTTAGTCACCTAAACGGTGTAAACGTCACTGCTTGCTGAGTGTTGTTGCTGAAGAAAACTTTTTATTGCTGATTTACCTCATCCCAGCTAGCTCTGTTGAAGGAGTTTGCCTCCTCCAAAGTTTTCCAGTCAGTCAGGTGCCATCTTGTACCCTGCCTGGGTCACAAAATGCAGGGCTGACTGGTAAGGTTGCCATCCCAGACTATCACAGGGTTCAAAGTCGTAAACAAAAAAAATACTTCAGCAAAGGATGAGTGTGAATTTCTGGCTTGTCTGAATTTCTCCTTTCATGCCCAGCATTTTGGAATAAATGCAAAGCACTTCAGGTTGATGTTTTTGCACCCCATAGTCCCTTACTTACAAAAGTGGGATGGCAATGGAAGCACCATAAGGAAGATCCCAACAAGCTTTTGCATCCTCTCTCCCAGGACTGACCTGTTGGAGCACAAAGGAGCAGTGTAGTTGCTGAGTATGAGGGAGAGAGGAGGACACTGCAGTGGCAGTACAAACCATTAGGAAGTTTTCATTCTGAGCCCATCAAGTCACTTCACAGAGATCATTGGACAGCTACAGGAGGTAATAATTAACATTACTGCACAGGGCCTGGCCCAGATTCATATCTGGGGTTAAAGCATCTCCAGCTTCTTGCTGGTGGTGTCACTCAGAACCCCTCCTGTCCCACAGAATTTTCCAAACGTCACAAAAAAGGGTAATACTGCAGGAATTCACCACCCAAACTGTGCTAAATGTTGTATTCCCAGGGCTATAGCTTGGAATGCAACTGACACTACCTGCTGGATTCAAATCACAGGACTGGCTGTGTCCTCTTTTTGTTCTTTTTTTCACTAATTTAGCAGATCATGTTCCAGAGGCAGAAGTGAACACAGGATTCTCTGCCTGATCAGGAGTAGAGCCGAGCCTTTAGAGCACAGGTCAGTGAGCAGCAGCTGAGGTAAAGCAGGACGCAGCAGAGCTCATGCCTGTGCACACAGTCCCAGCTCTCCGTGGCTGTTTGTCTTGCCACAGCCACAGGAGTTCTGCCAAGGTGAGTGCAGCCTGGATAAGCTCGTGGGTGTTAAAGCCTGTGTCATCCCAGCTGCAGGCACTTTTCTCTGTTAATTCTTAGCCATGCAAGCTGAAAAAAAAAACCCAAGATTTGCAAATGAGTTTGTCTCCTCAAAGCCCCACAACTCCCCCTCCCCGTTTTCCCCCAGGTGTCAGTTCTGCAGACTGGATGGAGAGAGTTGTACTATAATGAATAATTTTATATTCAAATGGTTTACTGAGCATGATTTGTTTTGTACATATTGGAATATGATTTAACTTATTTTTATTGCCCCTTTTAATTTTTTTTTTTCATAAGGACAAGACAAAAATCCCCACCCTCTCTCAACGTGAACTTCCTCTGTGTTTATGTGTAGTCTGCCAGGCAAACACACAATAGCCACAGGATTTTTCTCCATCTCTACTGGTATCTGATTTTATTTTCCATTTTAATTTCTTTTCATCTGAGGCTTTGCTTATATTGTCTCTTCTTTCCTCTCTGCTGCACAATCTGCACAGAGCAGGGAAGGGGCAATGCAGGCAGGATTTTCTTTTTCTTCCTCTCCTCTTTTTTGTGTGCTTTACCTACCAAGGAACTCAGTTCTTCTAGGAGTTGTGTGACTGAGGGTAAAAAAATACAACTGTTCCCCACCTACCTTCCATCCTCCATGCTGTAGATCAAACAGATTCAGCTTCTCTGAAAGTGATTGTGGCTGGAGTCATTCCCTTGAGCTGAATGTGTATGGTTTGCACTTTTTCCCCCCACTTCAGGAACTTAAAAACAACAAAAAAATAAAAGGCAAATTTTAACTTGAGCCAAGTAACACTTAAAGCTTTATATATTTATTTATGACATCTTACAAAAAGTGTTAAAATGTTTTTTTCTTCCACAAGAAAAATTGAATTAAAAATCATCAAAATTGTTTTGTCTAGATCAAGAATGAATGTTAGCAGATGAAATAAACCCTAAAATTGAGCATCTGGTGTGTGTGTTATCCTTGAATTGGCCTTTGAATGTTGTTTCAGTGTAATATGTCTTGCCTGTGTATTACAGAGAGATAAAGCTGCCAGTGAAGTTGATGAAGAATATTTGTTTTCTGCTACAAAAACAGACTCCTAACAAGAAACATTCAAACAGAAACTGCAGTCTATTCATTCCTATTGTTATATTTGAGCCAACATTTTAAAAAACCCTTCCACCCCACTAAAACCTATCATCTTTTAAAAATATATTACCTCTGATACTGTACAGTCCTCTTAGTTTTCTTTTTCAGAGTCACTGCAATGAACATATTTACAGGCAATAAATGGGGGTTGTTATACCAAATATTACAGAATAATTAGCAGAATTTTTTTTTGCTGTTTCACGTTCAGAATTGCTTTCAGCAAGTGTGCTGTGTGTAAATGTTCTGCAGTTACTGGACTGAGCCTTGTGCCTGGTTGGTACAGTGGAAGTAAGTTAGGGGTAGGAGAGTGATGGTGCAAGGGTTTCACAGTATCCTGAGAACACAAGACATTTATATTTAAAGTATGGTAAGTAACAACACTGTGATTTTACCAAAGCACTA